TTATTTATTTGTCAGAGAGATCACAAGCAGGCAGAGAGGTAGGCAGAGAGAGAGAATGGGGGAAGCAGGCTCCCCGCTGAGCAGGGTGTCCGATATGGGACTCGATCCTAGGACCCTGAGATCATTACCTGAGCCGAAGACAGATGCTTAACCCACTGAGCCACCCAGGCACCCCAAGAACACTGTCTTAAAAGCTTTCCATATAATAATTCATTTAGCCCTAAAGAAAGATTCTGTAGAGACTACTATTATGATACTGGGCATGTTCTTTCCTGGAAACCTGCATGGCTCATACCCTTGCCTCCTTCAGGCTTTTGCCCTAACAACAACTGAAGGGGGCCTTCCTCAACCACCTTCTAAAATTGTACATCTTGTACCTTCCCACTTTCCCTTCTCTGCTTACTTTTTCTCCTAAGCACCTATCGACTTCTAGTCTGCTGTATGTATGTTTTTTTTGGAGTTGTACTTTATTTCTGGAATATATATATTGCATATACTTATATATATATATAGTGGGCAAATATTTATATCATTTACATCATATGTTTTAATATTATATATTTATATAATGTAAATTATGTAATTATATAATAAATATAATATATAAATAATAAAATTATATATATTTACATTATATAAATATATAATACATACATACTGTATAATATAATGACATGTAATATGTAGTATGATATATAATGATACATAACATATATTACATAATATATATAACATGTTATATATGTTATAGTGTATTATTAATATATAATAGATAATATAGTATATAATAATATATAATTTACATTATATACAAATATACACAATGTACAAATATATATACTTATGCACAGTATATGCATAATGTGCAAATATATATAAATATATAATTTTACCCTAGGGAAACATGTAAAATGACACGTATAGAAACTAAGAACATCAGATAAGACCATGCAAGTGTTTCAGCCGGGCTTTGTCTTCCAGAGTACCCAGTTTATGTTGGTTCTTCGGAAATATTCGTCCCGTTATTGAGATAAGAAACAGCTGCTTGACAGGTTTTTTTTTTTTTTTATGAGTATAGTAGACATATGCTGTATATTTTATTACTTAAACATTTCCAAGAGGCAGTAAATGCAGTACTGAAAGCATGAACTTTGGAGCCACACTGGCTCGGATTAGATTTCAAGTTCCACAGCTTGCTAGCTGTGTGACCTTGGGCAAGTTGCTTCACCTCTCTGTGCTATAATCTTCTTATCTGGAAAATGGAGGTAATAACAATGTACCTCCAGGGCTCCTGAGAGAACTGAATTCACTAGTATTTTAAAGTACTTGGAGCAGTGCCTGGCACTAGGTAACTGCTAGGTTGGGTGAGTTTTTTAAAAGATATATATATATATATATATATACACACACACACACACACACACACACACACACACACACACATATATCTATATTTTTTAAAGATTTATTTATTTATTTGACAGAGAGATGGAGAGAGCAAACAAGAGAGCACAGCAGGGGGAGGGGACAGAGGGGGAGGGAGAAGCAGACTCCCTGCCCAGCAGGGAACTCAGTGTAAAGTTGGATCCCAGGCCCCAGGGATCCTGACCTGAGCTAAAACCAGACTAACCAACTGAGCCACCCAGGCACCCCTGGGTGATTGTTAAGTAAGAATATTTATTTTCTTTATTTTGGTTGGCTGCCTCCCTTACTAGAGGCCAGGCAGGGAATTTGTTCTGTGCGGTGTCCCTGACACCTAGGACAATGCTCTGTGTTTGTTGGATTTCCATTTTAAAGATGAGAAAACTGAGATACATAGGGATTTGTTTTTTTTCTCTTGACACTCAAGCTCCATCCTAGACCAAGCGGATCAGCAGCTGTGAGGGTGGGACCCAGGCATCTGTATTTTTAAATTTTATTTTAAAATGTTGCATTGTGAAATGTACATAACATAAAATATACCATCTTAGCCATTTTTAAGTCTCCTATTCGGTAGCGTTAATTACCTTCACGTTGTCCTGCAACAGTCTCCACGAATGTTTTCATCTTGCGGAACTGAAACTCTGTACCCACTAAACTAAACTCCCCAGTCCAGAGCATAGGTGTCTTGCCCAGTGGTGACGCTGGGATTTGAACCCGGGTACAATGTAATATGCGCGTAAATGAAGGCAGGCACAATCAAACCTCCCGGCGGGGAGGACTGTGAGAAACCCAGAACAGCCCTCACCGCTCAGGCTCAACCATCCGCCCCTCCCTGCTGCCGCAGCTTCGGCCACCTTCGAGGACTTCCAGATCCGCCCGCACGCCCTCACGGTGCACTCCTACCGAGCGCCGGCCTTCTGCGATCACTGCGGGGAGATGCTCTTCGGTCTAGTGCGCCAAGGCCTCAAGTGTGATGGTGAGGGGAGAGGGGGCTGGAGGCGGGGTCGGGGGTGTGGGTGGGGGTTGGTGTCAGGGGCGGGGCGAGGCGGGGCGGGGTGGAGCTCAGGGATAGGGGGCGTGGCTCGGAGGGAGAGGTAAGGGCCCAGAGGCACAGCTTTGGGGAGGAGTTGGGGGCGGGGATTGAGTGATGGGTGGGGGATTGGGCGGGGCTCAGCTGCGGAGGTGGAGCCCGATGCGGAGCTCCGAGCGAGAGGGAAGGGGGCAGAGAACTTGGGGGAGGAGAAGGGGAATGTGCTTAGGGAAGAAGGTGGAGCCGGTAACAGGAATCACCAGAGAAACAGCCAGTAGGAGGTAAATATTAAGGGATATTTGGAAGGAATTCGCTTACAGGAGTGTGGGGGCTGGCCCAGCAATTCTGAAATCCATAGGGCAGCGCTTCAGGAAGGGCAGGCTGGACTCCCGGGAAGAATTTCTTCATCTGGGAAATCTCAGCTCTGCTTTTGAACCTTTCAATTGATTGAAACGGGCCCACCCAGATTAACTAGAATACTCTCCCTCACTTCAGGTCAACTGGTTGTGCACTTGAATCACACGTACAAAATACCTTCACAGCAACCCCTACATTAGCTTCTGAGTTACTGGGGCTGACACAGAAAGCTGACCAGCAGAGTCCCCTCCTTGCTGACTGGGCCCCTCAGTGTGCCAGGACCTGCCATAACAAAGTACCACAGGCTGAGTGGTTTAAACAACACATATTTAGAACTCACGATTCCAGAGCCTGGAAAGTTTAAGATCACGGGTCAGACAGGGAGTGGTTTCCTGGTTAGAACCCTCTTTCTGGCTTGCACACGGCTGCCATCTGGCTGTGTCGCTCCCGTGGTGTGAGGAGAGACAACAGTTTCTCAAGTGTCTCCCTTTTATAAAGACCCTGGTCACGTTGGATCAGCGCCCCACCTTTATGGCCTCACTTAACCTTATTTACCTCCTTAAAATCTAATACAGTCACATTGGGGGTTAGGGCATCGACCTATGAATTTGGGGGATGGACACGTGTTCAGTCTACAACAAGCACCCACACGCATGTCCTTCGATCATACTTAAAAAATAAAGGAACACACCAGTGTGTCTCAAGGTGAAGCCGAAGGGTCAGGTTCTGCAGGTCCACTCTTCCCAGATGAAGACCATCCATTCTGCGAAGACCACACCTCCATCAGAAGCATATTCTCGAATGTTCCACCATCCAAGGATCTCCAGCTTCACGGCAATGGCGCTCATACGGACCCTGTGTCCCAGAAGACCTGCAGCATTGACCAGGATTGTCCACGCAGCCCTAAAGAGACCTGTGGCATTTAAGGGCTCGAGGGGTGATAGCCACATTGGGTCTGTGGAAAACCAATTCAGCACGTTCAACGCTGTTATAAGTACTGCCATCCTGCGCAAACCACATCCAACTCTTGGTGTCTTGGCATTTGTAACCTTCATCCTGACGTGCAGTCCTGGTGTCATAAAAGGGAAGGTGTTTTTTTTTTTTTTTTGCTTTTGTTTTTGAGAGAGAGAATGCATGCATGCCCGCGCACAAGCAGGGGGGAGGGGGGAGAGAGAATCTTAAGCTTGCTCCATGCTCAGCAAGGAGCCTCACTCGGGGCTCGATCTCACAACCCTGAGCTGAAACCAAGAGCCAGACACTCAACTGACAGAGCCATCCAGAACCCCCTGGCATCGTTGATTCTAACGGGCACCCTTAGCATGGATTTCACTGGCTCAGCCACACAGATGATGGTCCTTGTTCATGTGGTTCCAAAGGAGTCCCAAGTGACTGTTTTTTTTTTTTTTTTTTAAGATTTTATTTATTTGAGAGAGAGAGAGAGGATGAGAAGGGGGAGGGTCAGAGGGAGAAGCAGACTCCCCGCTGAGCAGGGAGCCTGATATGGGACTCCATCCTGGGACTCCAGGGTCATGACCTGAGCTGAAGGTAGTTGCCCAACCCACTGAGCCACCCAGGTGCCCCCAAATGACTGTTCTTAATGCCTTCATAACACCTTCTGATGGGAGTTTGACTCTGCCTTGATACTCAGAGCGTCATGGATGAGATTTTGAAGTCCCGTGAAGCACACGAGGGAGCAAAGGCCAGTGCTGGGAAGTGTTTCCTGTTCGCAAAGGTCGTGGGCCATCCCGAAGCTCTTCTCATACCACCACCTTTGGGAAAGCCTATGACAGCCAGGCTGCCAGAAGACAGGCTCCATGAGGCAGTCCCAAAGAAGCTTCCAAAGGCTGGAGGAACATTCTTCACTCCAGAAGAGGGAGCCTTCCTGGAATCATTTGGAATCTCTGGAGATGTATGGGAGCAAGGGTTCAGGAAACCTGCTAGGAAGACGGCAAGCTGAGCCTGATTCTTTCATGGAAGAGGATTTTGGATTTTTTTAAATGATAAATTAAGGAAGAAATGACAATAGAGTCATATTTCCATCTGATTTGGTAGAATTGTTCCGAGTACAACTGAAAACATGCTAATAACCCTTTCCCCAGGAGATGATGCTTGTTCACTCTTTTCCTTCGATGTCCTGTAATTTTTTTTTATTTCTATTTTTATAATATCCTGTAACTAAAATACGAATACAGTGCTCCGTTCGGCAGCACATGTACTGAAATGGGGCCAATACAGAGAATAATAGCATGGCCCCTGGGCACGGATAACACATGTATTCCTAAAGCGTTCCATATTTAAAAAAAAAAAAAAAGTTATGTCAGGGGATGGGAGATAGAAGGAAGAAAGCACAAATAGTTGTACACACAACAAGTATGTTCCTCATTTGTGCAGCTGGTCCCATGGTCCCTTCTGCTACTGCCCCCCAATCCACATTCCCCGGGACCTCAGCGAGGGCCTCACCTGCTCGTGGTTCTTTGCCTGGTGGACTGGCCCAGAACCTTCTAGGCCGGTAGCGGTTCTACCCGACTTGGGTTTTTGTAGTTTTTCGCTGGCTTTAGTGGCGCTCGCAGGGGGCTCTCCTGAGAGGGCGGCTGTATTCCTAATCTACAGAAAGGGAAGAGGGGCGGGGCGGAGTTTTAGAGCCCAGGACTGGTGCAAGGATGTCTCTGATCGTCTGGCGCCCCCCGCAGGCTGCGGACTGAACTACCACAAGCGCTGTGCCTTCAGCATCCCTAACAACTGCAGTGGCGCCCGCAAGAGGCGCCTGTCGTCCACGTCTCTGGCCAGTGGCCATTCTGTGCGCCTCAGCACCTCCGAGTCCCTGCCCTGCATGGCTGATGAGCTGGTGAGGGGTTGGGGAGCGGGCGGGCTAGTGGCTGGGGGGTGGGGGCGGACGACAGGGCCCGGGCATGGGGCCGCGCACTAATATGTCCCCTCCATTCCTGCTGACCATAGAGCCGCAGTACCACCGAGCTCCTGTCTCGCCGCCCCCCATCCTCCTCCTCCTCCTCTTCTGCCTCCTCCTACACGGGCCGCCCCATCGAGCTGGACAAGATGCTGCTCTCCAAGGTGAAGGTCCCGCACACGTTCCTCATCCACAGCTACACGCGGCCCACCGTCTGCCAGGCTTGCAAGAAACTCCTCAAGGGTCTCTTTCGCCAGGGCCTGCAGTGCAAAGGTCAGCGGGGCCCCCCTGGGGGAGACGGATGGGGTCAGAAGGCCCGGACAGACACATACTCACTCAGCGACCTGGGGCCTCTCTCACCTGAGCTTGTGGCAGGAACTAAAACTCCCAGTACTCTGGGGATGCCTGGCTGGCTCAGTCGGTGGGGCCTGAGACTCTCGTTCTTGGGTTTGTGATTTCGAGCCCCATGCTGGGTATGGAGAGGACTTAAAAATAAAATCTTAAAAAAAAAAAAAAAAGAATCCTAGTATTTTGATCCTTAGGAGCCCAGAGCCTCAGGAGAAGAGTGCCCTGAATCCTGGTGTTCTAGAACCTTTGGAATTCTGGAATCCTAGAACCTTAGAAACTTAGATCTATGAGCCACTTCATATGGGATTCTTAAACCGTAGAACTTGAGAATTCTGGAACCACAGAACTAGAACCATAGGCTTCAGGAATTCTGGATCATGGGGGTCCCTGAAAAGAACCACAGAACCTTAGACTTGGAGATCCTAGAACTCCCAGATTATAGATTCTCAGAATACTGGAACTTTAGAACCATCAGATTTGAGAATGGTAGAAGCCTAGAAGCATCAAATGTAAACCTTAGAAGTCTAGAATCATATACCCTTGGGGCCATGGGATCCTACAGTCCTAGACACACAGAACACAGAACTCTGGATTATCAAATTCTAGAATACCAGACATTGAGATCCATAAAATTTAGAGCTGTCCAATTCTAGAAGTCATCGGAAGAGTCAAATTCTAGAATCTTGGGTGTGTGGAATCCTAGAACCTTGGAATCATCAGATTCTGGATGGTTTGAAGTCCAGAATTGTAGAACTATAGAGTCACTGATATCTAGAATTTAAGTTTTTAATAACCCTAAAACCTTGGACATCAAGGAATCTTAGCAGTCTAGACTCATAGAACTGTAGAATCATAGGTGTGTCTAGACAGACATTGAAATTTGGAATCTTAGAACTCTAGAATTAGGGGAAAAAATCTAGAATCTTACAGGGATGTGCTAGTGACATCTAGTGGGTAGAGATCAGGAATGACCGCTAAACATATATGATGCACAGACCAGCCCCCAACAGCAAGAGATTCCCCAGCCCCGAATGTTCTAGACTCAAAGAGAGAGACAACCAACCCCAAAACAGCAAAAGCGGAATCTTCTGGGCCTGGGGGTTAGGAGTCAAGGTTCAACCCTTACAGGTGACGTCTCTCTCCCCTCCTACCCATCTACTTGTTCCCTGTCGTCATACCAGACTGCAAGTTTAACTGTCACAAGCGCTGTGCCACCCGTGTCCCTAACGACTGCTTAGGGGAAGCACTCATCAATGGAGGTGAGAGGCTGTGGGGTGAGCAGGGAAGTGGAGGGGGGTGGTGGCGGTACTGGGAAGAGGCTCCTCTGACGCCCTCATCCTGCTAGATGTGCCGATGGAGGAGGCCACCGATTTCAGCGAGGCTGACAAGAGCTCCCTCATGGATGAGTCTGACGACTCGGGGGTCATCCCGGGCTCCCACTCGGAAAATGCCCTCCACGCCAGTGAGGAGGAGGAAGGCGAGGGAGGCAAGGCTGAGAGGTACCTGGGGCACCCTCCGAGAAAGGCCCGTCCTAGCTCTACAATAGCTCGATGTCCCTTGTAAATTTTCCAGGCACCCACACTTTGTTTTAAAATTATACCTTTTTCCTAAAAAATGTATATTTTTAAAATACTTTATTTATTTGACACACAGAAAGAGATCATAAGTAGACAGAGGCAGGCAGAGAGAGGGGGGAAAGCAGGTTCCCCGTCTAGCAGAGAGCCCAATGCGGGGCTCCATCCCAGGACCCTGAGATCATGATGGAGCCAAAGGCAGATGCTTAACCATCTGAGCCACCCAGGTGCTCCCAAAATGTACATTTTTTGAAAAGCTTTCATAGAAGCGGATTTCTAATTTAGAGTATATTTCTCTTTTGGAACTGCTAATCCAGTCATTCAAATGGTAGTCAACCCTCCGCTTCCCTGCTTTCCCGCCTCCCAGCTGCTTAGCTCCTCCCCCTGGGATCAGCTGCTGGCAGGCCCTTCCAGAAACAGTCTGTGTTGGGGCGCCTGGGTGGCTCAGTGGGTTAAAGCCTCTCCCTTCGGCTCAGGTCATGGTCCCAGGGTCCTGGGATCGAGCCCCGCATCAGGCTCTCTGCTCAGTGGGGAGCCTGATTCCTCCCCTCTCTCTCTGCCTGCCTCTCTGCCTACTTGTGATCTCTCTTTGTCAAATAAGTAAATAAAATCTTAAAAAAAAAAAAAAAAAGAAAAGAAACAGTCTGTGTTGCAAGGTGACAGAGCAAAGAGTAAGAACGTGGGAATCTGCTGTATGGCATTAGGCAGGAGATTAACCTCTCTGGGCCCTCAGTTTCTTCATCAGTAAGATGGGGATAAAAGTAGGACCTACCTTTGCGGATTGTCCTAAGGGTGAAGTGGATGACGTTCTCTGGGCCGATGACGGCACGTGTCTCGTAGGGTGATTTTCTAATTCCATTAGATCACGCAGGTCAAGTGCTTGCCGGGTTGTAAACGCTGAGCAGATGGAAAGAGAATCCTCCCTGGTACTCTGTTCTTGAGTCCGCAAAGCGCAGAGGGTGGGAGGTGATCCATTCTGGAGTATGGGGAGAAATATTTGCCTTTCCATTTCTCTTTACTTTTAATCTCATCTTTTAGATGTTTTCGCTCTTTTGGCATGTTTTAGGATAATATTAACACACTATTATTGGTATATTGTACTAATACAGTAAGACATGTGTAAATGAGGGTAACCTGTGGATTGAAGCCGTCATCGATGTGTAAATCTTTATCCTTGAATGAAATCCTTCTCAGAAGGACTGTAAGGAACACCGTCCTCACTCCTAGGTTAGAAGATGGAAGTTTACTGGCTTCAGCTGGTCATTACTAAGAGAAAGGAGCTGAGACTTCACCCCACGGGGCCAAGGGGGCATTGATGTGAGGAGGGTGACCCATTTCCATGGTGCATCAGTAGACACTTATTGAGCACCGACTGGGTTCTAGGACTTCCCAGCACCCAGCTGTGAACCAAACCAGGAAAACTTTCTGGCCTCAAGAGCCGACACTCTAACTAGGGAGACAGGCAGTAAACAAATGCATCCATAGCATCAGGTACTGATGACTGCTATCAAAAAATACTTAAAAATAAAGATACATTAAAAAAAATAAAGCAAGGAGAAGGGACAGAGAATGAAGATACATTGTTTTAGGGTCATTAAAGGGGGCCTCTCTGAGAAGGTGACATTTGAAGAGATCTGAAGGAGGGCCGGGGGAGGAAAAGAGACACGTGGAAGATAGTTAGTGGAAGAGCTTGCCAAGCAAAGAGAACAGCAAGTGCAAAGGCCCTGTGGTAGGGCCAAGCATGTTCCAGAAACAACACTGAGTTTGGTGTGGGTGGAGCAGAGAGGGCCAGAGGAAGGGGATGGGCGACCAGCCCGAAGGGAAGATGGATATGCAAGTCACAATAATTACAGAGAGTTTCTTACTGATTCTACCTGACTCGAGCTGCCTGGAAGTTCAAGTTCCCTTTCTGCCAGGTCTTTCCTGAAGTGTTTAGTAACAGAGTAAGAGGCTGTAAGAGTTGGATCTTGATAGACTTGGGTGGGGTGGGGGTGTTGGGAGAGGCAGCCTATTTCACCGATGAGGAAACCAAGTCTCAGAGAGGCAAAGGGAAGTGCCAGGGCCACCCAAGTCCTGGTTTGATGTAGGGATCAAGAGGTGGTTGGTTCTGGAGTTGAGCAAGTCTGTGAATCTCTCTAAGCGTTTATTTCCTCTCTGTAATAATAGCTTGTGCACTGATAAGGGCAATGAGGTACAGAGAGGTTGTCACTTCCCTAGTGTCACACAGCTGGTTCCACAGTCACTGGGCTCAGTACTGATTAGCACTTATGGGAGGACCACTGGCTGCCAAGCATTGTGCTAAATTCCTAAGAAAGGTTTTCACCCCTTACAGCAACCCCTTTGGGTGGAGAAATGGAGGTACCGTAGAAGTTAGGTGATTTGCCAGGCTGCCTGACTTCGGACCCCAGCCTTGTAATGTGGCCCTATCTAGCGTCCCCTTCCTCATGGGAAATGTGGAAACCACAAAAGTG